TGACGTTGGGTGGCTCTGGGCGGAGCGCCGGTGGGAAGGTCGGCGGCGGACGAGGTGGTGGCTGGAAGAGGGCCGTGCGATCTGTGTGTTTGGGTCGCGCGTGTTAGGAGAGAGAGAGAGAGGAGAGAGAGAGGGGAGAGAGATGAATGGGTGAGTTTGATTGTTAGTGGCGGGTCCCACCACTTATATGAGTTGTATGAGTATAATGTCTAAATTACCCTTAATGAAGGTATAATGATTTATTTGTTTTAACCGTTGGATGATCACATCTAATGGTTAGGATGTATTCTTATTTCTTTCATTGAGCACCTTTCTCACCGGAGCGCATCCCTATATATATATATACATATATATTATTTTCTGATGATTTTCTTATGTTGAATTGAGAAAAAAATATGCTTGTTTATTTCTAACTATTATTGAACTTATTGGGATTGGATTGATGTGTTAAAAAAAGTATTACACATGAGAAAAATGAAAAATATGGAAAATATAATTTATAAATTGTAATGGCATTATGTTATTTTGATGGTATACTTTTTCTATTAATTAAATAGTGCCCCCAACATAAAATTATTTTGGATCCGCCACTGAAGTTAGTTTTTAAATGGAACTTCCATTGAAATTTTTACAATTTCAATGACAGTTTATCTAATGGTTGAAATATGATCGGAACAAAGAATTCCAACGAAAGTTCACACAACAATAAATAATTGCGATTGAAATATAAAATCCACAAAAATTTCCATGTAGTTTAATTTGATCTCTGTTGGAATAGCTAATGAATTGTTCCAATTGAAGCTACCAATGAAATACCCGTTGAACTTTTCAGTGGAGTACCTTACTGTTGGATTTTTTATTATAATATTGAATTTTTGTATTCTTTCTTAAATATTAAAATTTTTATGTAGTAATTTTTGTTATTTATTAATTGTTTTTACAAATTTTCTCTTAAAAATATAGTAAACACGGGTGCTTTTTAATCCATATAATTTTCTTACAAATCACTTGTTATTTTATGTCGAGATTACCTATTAATTTCTCAATTGAGTTACAAAATTTCTCTTAAAAATATAGTAAACATGAGTTAATTCCATTTCTGATTCTTTAAGTTGATTTAAATTTGGAAGCGATTTTTATATATCATGTCAATCGTAAAATTGTAGGTAGAATTTCGTTGGTGTAGAAACAACAATTGGACGAATGTTTGAATTGTATGGAAATTTTATAACATCTTTAACATGGATAAAAAAACTAAGATATATGTCAAAAATGTTAAATACAATTAAATTTATCTATTCTTTTTTTTTTTTTAAACTCCTACAGTTTTATATGCTATTTATGAAAAAATGTCTAAAAACATCTATAATAATTTAGCTAACTTTCATTAATATAAGTTGCAAGATCATTTGTAAAATTAAAGGATTGACATATTATGAAACAAATCGTTCTTTATAAAACCTGAATATTCGATTAATAAAATGTGGATTCAAAACTTTTAAAAAATATTTCCTTCAAGAAAGTGAAAGGTTTCGACGGCAAATTTATTTTAATAGATATAATTTTAATGAGTTGATAAAACTAAGTAAAGATGTGATTGTGATGAGTTGAGTCGCATGATCCCGGAAAAGTAGCAGCGGAAACAAATATAATGGAGGAGGAAAAAATAAAAATAAAATATAATTAATTTTATAATCTAAATTTGGTTATTAGATTTTTAAATTCAAACATTTAAAGGAAAAAATCACAAGCAGATTTTTTGGGTAAATTTTATTTTATCTTGATTGTCATATAATCACATTTCTAACAAACCAATTAACATTATATTTTTTTATCTACATTATCTAACTAAATTTTTTATGATATAAATAATATAATATCTTAACTAATTAATCATTTATATACCGGAATTATCTCTCTAATAAACTTGCCAATTTTATTGAAATTAAAATGATATGACTATTCTTACGAAGATACTTACCAATATATTAAACATTTAGAAATTTTTTTAAGAAAATGAGTTATCCCTCCTTTTACTTTATTTGAAATTCAAAGTTTTATTTTAAATATATTATTGTTTATTTTTTCTTACGTGGAAATGTTTATTCTTTATTATCTAAGTGAAAAATATTATTGATTTATCTCTTTAATAAATTTTTATTATTTATTTTTTTCCTTACGTGATATAATCTAAATTTGGTTATTAGATTTTTAAATTCAAACATTTAAAGGAAAAGACCACAAGTAGATTTTTTGGATACATTTTATTTTATCTTAAGTTCCATATAATCACATTCCTAACAAACTAATTAATACAATTAAAATTATTTAACTAGAATTTTATAAATATAATTAATATAATATTTTAACTAATTAAACTTTTGTCTAACCGAATTTATCTAATTAACAAACTTGCCAAAATTTTTGAAACTAAAATAGTAAGATTATTCTTACGGGTATACTTACCAAATATTAAACACTTTAAAAACTTTTTGAAAATAATTTTAACTATTCCGTCTTGTACTCTATTTGAAATTCAAAATAAAATTTTAAACATATTCATAAATAAGCTAATTAGTATAATATTTTTTTAACCACATTTATATAATCGTATTTCTTAAAATATAATTAATTTAATATTTTAACTATTTAATCATTTGTATAACTCGATTTAACTCATTAACAAACTTGCCAATTTTTTTTTTTAAATTAAAAAAAGTTGGATGATTTTTATTTGTAAAATAATAAAAAAATAGCTTTACTTTAAAGTCTGAATTCTTTCCATTATTTTTTGTACGTTAACAATCATATAATGGATAATTGATTTGAAAAAAAAAAATCAAAACGGTAAGGTTTAATAATATTCCTTAAATAAAAAATATTGTATAAAAAGAAGTGTTTAATATATATATTTTTCATTGTTTGCGATTTTCGATTGCTCTGTAACACGAACGTATGTTCCCACGCTTCGAGACAAACTCGTTCTCCTGAGTCGACCCGTCAGACTCTCAGGAGAACGAGCTTGTCTCGAAGCGTAGGTGTAACACCCCGCCTTTTCTAACTTTTACTTACGAAAAACTGAGTAAAATTTTCGCGTTTGTTTTCGAAAGATGCTGATACTGTTTTCGAAAAATACTTATACTTACCTAACTCACGGGATGTTACTTACTTAATAACTAACTTCTTACTCTTTCCTTTTACTTATGCATGTACCAAAATTGATATAAAATCCAGCTGAAGAATATGGATAAGAGAAAATTAAACATGCATGCATACTAGTTCTAGGTTGGCAGTACGGAAGCGTAAATAAAATACAGTACAGTCTGAAAATTATATTATTACATGCCGACATAAACATAAACATAATTGAATGTCCAGCTGTCTTCGGACACCACCACACCACCGCTCGGCTCACGCTCCGGCTGGACTCCATCACCTGAGAAAAACATAAGTGAAAATAGTTATTTTCACCCCATTTTCAAGTCCTGCTAAGTTTTTCACACCGCCCAATAAAAAGCTAAGTTTTTCACCCCAGAAAGTGCGAAAGACATTGTGCGATGAATATGCGATAGTTGCGAAATGACATTGTGCGAAAGTTAGAAGTGCGAAGGCATTCGCATATCCCTTCGCACTTTATGGGGTGGAAAAAGTTAAAGTGCAAAGGCATTGTGCGATGAATATGTGATAGTTGCGCGATAACATTGTGCGAAAGTTAGAAGTGCGAAGGCATTCGCATATCACTTCGCACTTTCTGGGGTGGAAAAAGTTAAAGTGCGAAGTCATTGCGCGATGAATATGCGACAGTTATCAATTGATATGCGATAGTTATGCAGTCCATTCGCATAACCTTCCGCACTTTCCGGGGTGAAAAAGTTAGAATGTTATTGGGCGGTGTGAAAAACTTAATGTATCTTTGTATTGGGGTGAGAAAGATTTTTTCCCAAAAGATCTTTGTAATGGGAGCGTGAGCAAAACCACTGGACTGCGGCTCACGTTTCTTTAGTGGATTTATTATTATTATTATAATTTATAAGTATTATTATAATTATTATAATTAATTATAATTATAATTAGAAATTATTATTATAATTATTATAATTAATTCTAATTTATAACTATTATTATAATTAGTATAATTATTTCAAATTATTATTAGAAATTATTATTTTAATTATTATAATTATAATAATTATAATTCTAATTTATAATTATTATTATAATTAATTATAATTATTATAATAATAATAATATTAATTATTATTTATAATTTATAATATTTTTTTTTTATTTTTATAATTTATAATTAATTATATATTATAATTAATAATTATTATTATTAAAAAAAAATTGTCCGGCCGGCGGGGCCGGTCCGGTTCGGTCCGTCCGGCCCCCGATCGCGCACCGTTTTTCCGGCGTCCAGCCGCCGATCGCNAGAGAGAATGCTTTGCCGATGCTGTAGGATTTTTTCGACATTTTTTCAGATTGTTTTGGACGCTCACATGGCTCGTTAAAAGTGGGAGAATTTGAAGAGAGAGAGAGTTTAGAGAGATAGAAAAAAAGGGCAAAAGAATAAAAGAGGGACGGTGACTAGTAATAGGGACAGTAAATAGTAAATGAGTCTAAAAAAACAATAAATCTTGTTTCATTTGAGGGTAAACTAGGCTATAAATATTTGTACCCATGAAGTGTATCTAAAATATTAATCTTGAATAACAAATGCAAATCTAATTTAATTCATACTATATAATACATCCATTACATATTATTTAGTCTTATCTCATCTCTGTAAACAAACAAGGCTTGAAATCGTATTAATTTAATCCATTTTCATCCCAAGAAACAAATGAGCCATTTTAAAGACTAATAAATATATATTTTTTTCGAATATATAATCCACACCAGTAAGCAGTAATCCTTCAACCCTGACAAGACGCACCTTGTATGTTGAACCCTCGATTCGAAAACAACATTGGCCAATTATGTAAGTTTCCAGTAATGGAATGGCAAGAAATGCACTACTCTGTAGCAAACACCTGTTTGACAACTGCTCATCCTCTGCTTTCGCCAAACTCCTGGATGCCAAGCCCTCACCCGACGCGCGTGCTGTCCACGCTTGCATCCTCAAGTCCCATTTCAGTACTGAGGTCTTCATCAACAACAGGCTCATCGACGTCTACGGAAAATGCGGGATTTTCAGCTATGCCCGCAGGGTGTTCGACAAAATGCCCTTCAGAAATACATTCACGTATAACTCGATGATCGGCTCGTTTTCCGCGTCGGGCTCGATCGATGAAGCCGAGAGGGTGTTTGTTTCCACTCCCGAGCCCGATCAGTGCTCGTGGAATCTAATGGTGTCTGCTTTTGCTCAGCTCGAGATGTTCGGTAAGTCGCTGCAGTATTTTGTGAAAATGCACAAAGAAAATTTCGTGCTAAACGAGTACAGCTATGGGAGTGCGCTTAACGCTTGTGCCCGCTTGAGAGATTTGGCAACGGGCGGCCAAATTCATGCTTCCCTGGCTAAGTCAAGGTTCTCGGCTGACGTCTACATAGGTTCCGCACTTGTTGACATGTACGCAAAGTGTGGTGAAGTTGACCTCGCACGAAATGCCTTTGACAGCATGACTCAACAGAACATCGTGTCCTGGAATAGCATGATTACTTGTTACGAACAAAACGGGCCCGTGATTGAGGCTATTCGGGTTTTCCGCGAGATGATGGAATTCGGGCTCAAGCCCGATAAAATGACCCTAGCTAGCCTCGTGAGTGCTTGTGCCAGCTTGTGCGCGGCCAAAGAAGGTCGAGCTATTCACTCCCTTGTCGTGAAATCCGCAGCTTTTTGCAACGACCTCGTAATTTCCAACACGCTCGTCGATATGTACGCAAAGTGTGGAATGATAAACGAAGCCCGTTGGATCTTCGACCGAATGCCGATAAAAAATGTCGTCTCAGAGACTTCAATGGTGAGCGGCTATGCCAGAGTTGCTGGGGTCAAGACCGCGAGGACAATGTTTTCCGAGATGAAAGAGAAGAATATCGTGTCTTGGAATGCACTTATAGCTGGCTACACACAGAACGGAGACAATGAGGAGGCATTGGGACTTTTTCTTCTCTTGAAAAAAGCGTCCGTGTGGCCCACACACTACACGTTCGGGAATCTTCTCAACGCGTGCGCGAATCTCGCGGACTTGAGGCTCGGCAGGCAGGCCCATGTTCATGTCCTGAAGCAGGGGTTTCGGTTCCAAAACGGGCCTGAGCCCGATGTGTTCGTGGGCAATTCCCTTATAGACATGTACATGAAATGCGGGTCGGTTGAGGACGGGAGAAGAGTCTTCCGGAACATGGTCGAACGAGACGGCGTCTCGTATAACGCCACGATAGTTGGATTTGCGCAAAACGGGCTTGGGCCCGAAGCTCTTTATTTGTTCAAGGAGATGTTGAAATATGGGGAGAGACCGGATCATGTGACCATGATTGGCGTTCTTTGCGCGTGTAGCCATGCAGGGCTTGTTGATGAAGGACGTGAGTATTTTGACTCGATGAGCAAAGTGTATGGTTTGAAGCCACAGAAGGACCATTATACGTGCATGGTTGATTTACTCGGGCGAGCTGGCCGGTTAATTGACGCGAAAAAATTGATTTTGTCAATGCCGGTGCCTCCTGATGGTGTTGTGTGGGGATCTTTGCTTGGTGCGTGTAAAGTTCATAGAGATGTGAATATGGGGAGTTTTGTGGCTGAAAAGCTATTGGAGATTGATCCAGAGAATTCCGGGCCTTACGTGCTTTTATCAAATATGTATGCAGAAGTGGGTATGTGGAAGGATGTGAAGAGAATCCGGAAAGTCATGAGGAAGAGGGGTGTTGTGAAACAGCCAGGTTGTAGCTGGATTGAGATAAGGAGTGAGTTGCATGTTTTCATGGTCAAAGATAAGAGGCATCCTCAGAAGAAGGAAATATTTTTGGTGTTGAGAACTCTTACTGATGTGATGAAGCTTTCTGGATATGTCCCGAATGTGGTGGATTTTGATGCTGAAGAGGAACGGATGAAGCATGAGTGTGCTTCGTTTGAAGAGTTTGAAATGCCTCTGGTGGCATCATTAGGGTAGTGTGTTGTACCAAGTGTTCATTTCTTGTGTGTTTTTAAGATTTGACAGGTAATAGTTGGAAGAGTAAATGACTAAATTCAGGACGTATTTTTTTTTTTTTTTTTTTTTAAGAGTTGAGATTGTTGGAATATTCATACATGTCTTGAACGGACTAATTGAATGTGTTGTCTTGATTGCATCTGGTAAAAGGAGTAAGACAGAATAAACTAAAATTGATTGGATGTTTTTACGGCCCAATTTTATTGTAGAATTACTGAATTTTTGCTAGACTTTGCTGTTATCTTCATTCTTTAGATGGAGAGTTCGTATCATGTATGATGAGAAGCTTATTGATACTGTTGTATATAGAATACACATGTATCTTTGAGAAGAGTGAAGAAGAAAATATACCAAAAATTATTGAAGCTTATTGATTCATCCACGTGGCCGAGACCCCCACCATGGATTCGCTGAAGAAGGTATACTGTTCTTCACTCAGCTGATTTAGGTTTGAAGATGTTCTGATTGTTGAGTGCATTTGCGTCTGTACCTTTGGGGCAAGACGACTGTGATTGAATTTGTCCTTGATGTTGTTTCTGGTGAAGGGAGAGCCTGATAGGTGGAGATTGGTGAAGGCTCACGGGCCAGCAGTAGGGCTGCCCACAGAGGATGACATGGGTAACAGTGAGGTTGGTCACAATGCACTTGGTGCTGGCAGGATTTTTGCACAGGGGTGAGCTGAGCTTGCAGTACTTATTTGTGAATTTTTGATTGGCCAAGTAAATCTATATAGAAGATGAGTTTGAAAATCAAGTTTTAGATTTGCCACCTTTAATGAAGTGTTTGTTAGTTTGTTGTGATAATACATATTGTTGATTTGTGATTGTGTATGCTATATTAGTTCCAACACTTTGCCACCTCCTGCTGTGTTGATTTGGTATTTATGTATTTATTTAGGCATTTTGTTCAATTTATGGTTGAATTAAATTCCATGTGTCCATTAGACTGATGTAAATGAATTGTTGTGTGTCGCAGGGAGGAAAGTTTTGTTTCATATTATATTGTCCATTGTCTTCCTCCCTTCTAAATTGCCTATGCACCATAATGCAAACTTTGTACAGACTAGGAAATGATTCAGATTATATTACTCTTGATAGATAAGAGTAAATGTTTAACGGGTTGCTTTACGTTGGGTTGTGCTTGATTGATCTTCCTCTTAAATATGTCAATAGTTAGAATCCTAAGTTCAATTGTGTTGAAGTTGATTGATTAACCCTTTCTTGTATTTCGTTTATTTTCAAACTGTCTCTCTGTTTTTAGCAGCAAATGGTTCAATATCTTTTAATCTAACTAGTACTTGGGAAAGATCACGATTCACATACAAATAGCAACGATGCTGTTTTTTTTCCCCTAAAAATAATCGTGTTTTGCATCATTACAAGGTTTCTGCTAACACTTTATCCTACCTCTTTTTGTATACAGTGCAAAGCTTGTTGATATTGCTCTTGAAACGGGTAAAATATACGATGGAGAAGGTTTCAAGTACATCAAAGAATCTTTTCCGAATGGAACTCTTCATCTCATTGGATTATTAAGCGATGGAGGTGTCCACTCTAGGCTTGACCAGTTGCTGGTATCTCTTACCCCTGGAGTTTCATCACAATGTTTTTGACAATCCACATGCTTTTCTTTTCTTTTTACTTTCCTCTTTATGCCTTTTTAACTTTCGTGACCGTGTTGTTTTTTATTGATATTTTAGCATATAAGATAAATTGATTGCATGTCATATATTTTGGATACAGTTGCTTCTTAAAGGTGCTAGCGAACATGGTGCCAAAAAAATCCGTGTTCATATTCTCACTGATGGACGTGATGTGTTGGACGGCAGTAGTGTGGGCTTTGTCGAAACTCTAGAAAATGATTTGGCAAAGTTGCGTGAGAAAGGCGTTGATGCGAGGGTTGCATCCGGTGGGGGCCGCATGTATGTTACGATGGATCGTTATGAGGTAAGATCTTCCGAATTTCTTTTATGGAAGGATTTGTGGTAGACCGTCTGATGGATGATATCCTGTCATATGGATTACAAATGGCACATTTAATTAGTACTAAAGTTTTAGTCAGTTTTCTTCCTTAGCCTGCACCCTTATTTTTGCGGAATCTTGAAATATACTCACGCGAGAATGTGTTTCTGGCATTCCATAGAACGACTGGGACGTTGTCAAACGAGGTTGGGATGCCCAAGTGCTTGGAGACGCACCCCACAAGTTTACGAACCCCATTGAGGCTGTGAAGAAACTGAGAGAGATCCCCAACACAAATGACCAATACTTGTCCCCTTTTGTTATTGTTGATGATAACGGAAAGCCCGTTGGGCCTATTGTAGATGGCGATGCCGTTGTGACATTCAACTTCAGGGCAGATCGTATGGTTATGTTGGCCAAGGCACTCGAATACGAGGACTTTGATAAATTCGATCGGGTCAGGTTTCCCAAAAATCGTTATGCTGGGATGCTTCAGTATGATGGTGAGCTCAAACTCCCGAGTAAGTACCTTGTTTCGCCACCAGAGATCGATAGAACGTCTGGGGAGTATCTTGTGCATAATGGCATCCGTACTTTTGCTTGTAGGTAAGCTGCTGTAAAAGTCTGTTTGAGTTACTATAACAATCCCTTACATTTATGTGTTATTCTTGTTCTGAGGTCTACCATGGCCTAACGACTTTAGGGGCTACAGTTATGGTCTTACTTTCACTTTATTGTTTATTTGGGATGACCATAAACACTATTATCAAGATTTAACAACAACAACAACATACCCAGTATATTCCCAACAGGTTGGGGTCTGGGGGGTCAGTTGTACGCGGACCTTACTCTTGTAATTATACAAGGAGGCTGTTTCCGTAGCGACCAAAGATGCATTGCGCCGTTTGATATATTTTTTTTTCTAGAAACTTCACTAATAGAAGAAGCACTAGAATTTAATTGAGCCATTTTGATCTATTCCATTATTAGCACTATGCCAGGAGAATTGTCAACAATGACTCTTCCAGCTCCATTTGCAATGGACAATATTATCGAGATTTAACCTGATGAAAAAAAACTTCCAGTGTACCTTTCAAATCTCAAATTTGCATCTACTGAGTGTAAAATTTGTTAAATAGTTACAAAACTTCGGTATTTGTAATTTTAGAAGATAAGGGCTGAACTGTTGAAACTTTTGTATTTCTGGAAAAAAAAAAAAAATGGTGTATATTAATACTATGATGAGTTCATGTCTTGTATTGGAGCTAATATGTCTGAATGTTTGAGATGTAATGTAAGAGACTTTGATGGCCATTTGTAACCAAGAAAACTAAAAAAAAAGCAAGCAGGCTTATTATTTTAACCATTCTCCACATATATTATATAATCCTAGAACAATATCAATTTTTCAATGTAGTTTAAGTGGTGTTTTAAATTTTAATTATTATTTTTCTTATTTCAAATAAAAAAAATGTGACCTTGAAGATAAAGTACAAGTCTTATTAATTTATATTTTAATTTAAGTGTTGTATTGTTTTCTTATGTGTGTTTTTTTTGTTTGATCAAGTGATAAATAGTGTGATGTGTGTTTTTTATGTTTGATCAAGTGATAAATAATGTGTGAAAATTAAGATAGCCACGTGTTCCATGGGTCAAAAATTAGAACAAGCGTTGTTTTTGTG